GGCGAGAGGAGCCGCGACGGGCGGCAGCGGCAGCGGCAGGGGCAGCGGCAGCGGGCAGGGCGCGGCCGGCCCCCGGCATGGCCCGGCAGTAGGCAGCCAGCCCCCGCCGCGCCCCGTGCGTCCTATGCGAGCCGCCCCGGCGCCAAGATGAAAGGTAGGGACGGCAGCGGGGCGAGCGCACACGTGTGCGGCGGGCACCGGCGGCGGGCAGGGCAGCGCGGGGGAGCGCGGAGGAGCGCGGGGCAGGCGGGGCGCATCCCCGGCTCCGCGCGGGGCAGCGAGGCAGAGCCGGAGCGGATCCTGCCGTCCCCCTGCGCCGTCCCGCTCTCGGCACCCGCTCTGCGTTCCCCTCATCTCCGTCTCCGCTGTCCCGCGGACGAAACTTGGAGTTCTCCCCCAGCGGTTTGTTTATTCCCTGCCAGCGCTGTGCGATGTTTCACGGTGTTGCTTCTAAACATCTGGCAGTGATTAGGTGCCAGCGGAGGCTTGGCTGGCTTGTGAAATGTATCTGGCATATTGCTCCTCAACATCCACCGACTGGAAAATATTTGGGCTTTGCTTTGCATCTGTTAAAGCTGAAACTTTGTTTCTTATCTCGTTTTTCTCTCTCCCTCTCTTGTTGGGTGAAAGTCTTCTCTTCTGCCGGCTGACCCGTCCCAGCAAGCTGGGACTGAGATAATGCCCTTTCAAAGTCAAATAGGCAGACTGCTAATCGATGTAAGATACATTGGGGGACTACAAGAAAGCCTGTTTAGAAAATCGACAGCCTTGCAGTGAGAGGCAGAGCCCATGCACACCGGAGAGCAGTCATAATGGGAACATCAAAGGAAAGTGTAGGAAGAATTGGGAGTTCGCAAGAGTTGGGTCTCAGTTTCCTTCGGAGACAAAAGTACACTCGAAGGGTGGAAGGGAAAAAGCACACATGAAAATTGCTTTTGGGCAGTGGTGTGGCTGTGCTTGGATTGCAGGGGCTGGTGCCAGATGCCAGATGCCGGTAAACACGGCGACACTGACATGGAGTTTCCAGGGCCGGGGACACCAAGTGGTGCGATATTGACTCTCTTTGCCTGAAGGGAAGAAAGGCTTTGGGGGATTCTGATTCTGGTTCCAGTACCTGGAGGGGGCCTACAGGAAAGCTGGGGAGGGACTTTTTATTGGGGCATGTAGTGACAGGTTGAGGGGAAATGGCTTTAAACTGTAATAAGAAGATTTAGAGTAGATATTAGGAAGAAATTATTTAATGTGAGGGTGGTGAGACACTGGAACATGTTGCCCAGAGGCTGTGGATGCCCCATCCCTGGAAGCATTCAAGGCCAGGCTGGATGGAGCTGTGAGCAACCTGATCTAGAGGTGTCCCTGTCTATAGCAGGGAGTTGAAACCAGATGATCTTAAAGGTCCCTTCCAGTCCAAACCATTCTATCAAAAAAAAAAAAAAAAAAAAAAAAAAAAAAAAGAAGAAAAAAAAGACTTCTATTCTATTCTATGGCTCCACAAGCCCACCCACACTATTTGAGTTACTGCTGGTGTTGTGACATAATCTCCCCACAGGGCCCTGCAATGTATTTAAAATAATATATTTATAGTGTATTTGTATGTTACTCATGCCAAAAGCTTTGTCACTGGCTTGTCACTAAGGGTGTAAGTGTCATGGCAGGAACAAACCAAAGCAATGGGAACCCAGTAACATCAAGCCATGGGTGTTACCACTGTAGCCTTGCTCTGGGACTGGAGCAGGGCTGTTGTGCGGGTCAGGCAGGATGGTGAGGGCAGAGCAGAGCAGTAACACATTGGAGCAGCCAAGCACTGTGCTGCATGGCACCTGGAACAAGGCACTGAGCCCACTGAAGCCAGCAGGTGCTTTGCTGTAGCAATAGGTGGGTACAAGACATGAGGGGGCTGGAACTAGGTGATCATGGGGGTCTCTTCTGACCCAAGACATTCTATGGGTCTATTCTATTTCTGCCTCCTTCCACTCTGCCTGCAGTGCTGTGTTTTGCTGAGTGGAGAAGTGGCACTTGGATAGCCATGTGCTCACAGCCTGGCAGGGGGGATGCTCTGTTCTGCTTGCCAACCCCTGCCATCACCTTCCCCAAAAGCAATCACAGCCATCTCATTTCTACCTCCCCTAGAAATCAGTTCCAAAACATGCACAGAACCGCTAAATGATGGTGCTAATAATCGAAAAAGCCTTCCAACCTATCATCAAGTGCCATTGCTTGTGTCATGGAAACTGCAGAGCCAAAGCAAACTCTGACTCCATGTCTTCTTTCCCTGATGCATATTTGTTTTTTCATAATTTCTCTTTAAACTTGATGGGGGTGATAAGTGGAGGAGTCGGTGCAGTGACACCAATAGCAAAACGATCTGTTGATTGCAGCTGTCTCTGCATCTACCCTCTCTGGAGGACGGAGGAATATCTAAATAATTACATCACTGAGTATCTGTACGGAATAAATTATATTTTCCACTGCTGGTGTTTGTAACGTGCTGTGCTTTAAATCAGTAAAATAAATGGAAGTTTACATTTGATGTGCTTGCAGTTGGATTTGCAGCAAACTACACTGAGCTCACAAACTTTGCAATACTTTTAAGTAATAATTCATGTAATTTTTAAAGGGACTCAGCTGGTTCACAGTTACATATATTTGTATCAAATGTAAGTTTTCTTCTAAATTTTAGTTATGTATTGGGGAATGAGACACTGTTTGTTGCCTAGGAAACAACTGAAAACAGCTTCCCACAGTCAACACCACATGCTCAAAAACATCGACCCAAGTGAAGAGAGAGGAACACATTGTTAAAACTTTTCTGTATATCTGTGATACCTTTTGTAAAGATCATCTGAAACCATATCTGTAACTGGTCCAGTCGTGGCTGCTGTGGTTTTGCCATTTGCAACGTGGCTTTTGTTTGGACAGTGACTGATCACTGCTGCCCCAGATCAGGCACTGCCATGGCCCAGGTGGTTTTGTGGGATGATGGCTCTGGCACAGCAGAGGAGCTCTGTATCCTTCCATGGATCCTCCTCTTCTGATCCATTCCTCCCACCCTGCTGACTGCACTGCTTGGAGAGCGGCCCTCATGGTGGACAAAAAGTCGGCTGTGCTGTAACAGGAGGAAGCATCTGGAAGAATGCCCTATCCTGTGCAGTGCCTCTCATATAATAACAATAACAACAACAACAACAACAGCAACAATCTCCTCTGCATTATAATTTAGAGCCCAGATGCAATCTGCAGGTGAAGCTTCCACCTTCAAAATGGGAATGTGCATGCACCGTTCAGTTGCTCTTTCACAAAAAGCCTTGAAATAAATGGTCTGTTTACATGGTGTCCACCTCCTTGGCAGATTTTGTCTTTCCCTTGAACCATTTTGATGCCACTGCTGTGTTTGTAGAATAAAGTGAGGTTGCTAGTGGTGGAGAAACGTGTCTCTCTCCCTCTGTAGTCTTCCCATGCACAAAATCAGATGAGTGGTTGTCTGCAAAAAGTCCTTCCCAGGATAGAAACAGCAAACTGCGTGTTTCAAACAACCCAGCCCAAAGCGTTTTGCAGGAGCCAGACAGCATCTGAAAACCAAGGACGAGGAGCGGAGCGATCCAATAACCTTCACTCAGTGCAGTTATAGCACAGCTCATATGAATATAGTGACATAAACATGAAACATATGCAAAGCTCAGAGTGGTGTGTGTTGGACATGTCACAGGACCCTACCGCAGAAGTTCAAAGGCATGAGCGGCTACAATAAATGTGTGATAAAATGCAGAGCAAATCCCAGGCAGTGCTACTCCACAGCCGGTGTAACCCGGACTGGCTGGTAGCAATGGGGGTTTTTAAATATGTGTATGAGAGAGATGATCATGCATGCGTGTGTCAAAGGATATTCTCCTTAATGCCGAAGAGGAAAGAAGGCAGAGTTTTAGGAGCTGTGAAAATAAGAGGGAAATCTGTTTTTGCACAGATAGAGCTGTTACTCTGCAGGTGGCTATTGAGCAGAAGTAGCTAGTAAGCTATTGAATGCAGGGTTATTTTTGATAAGAAGTCGTGACTGTGCATCTTGACTTTGAATGTTCTGACTTTCCTGGCCACACAGGACCAAGAAGAGTGAATGGAGCTGTGTGAGGAAGGCTCTTCCTTCTGCTGCTTTGGAGAACAGGAATTTATTCTGGACGAGTTTCGCTACAGCTGAGAGCTGAACAGAGCCCTTTTTTGTCACGATCACTTAATGCTTCATTGAGATCCCTGCTCAAAGGCCATTGTACTCACAGGTCCAAACACCTCTGCTGGCTTGGTTGGCAGGGAGGGGGGGAAACATGGTCCTGCACAGGGGTACAGCTGGTACGAGCTGGCAGAGCTAAGCCAGAATCAAAGAAAGAGAGTGCAAGAAATGTCAAGGATGAAGGCAATTCAGCACTGCGAAGGATGTGTGCCTAGTTATCTCCAACTGCACGAAACACTTCTTATCACGAGGTTCTCTTGTGTCAAAACAGAGATATCCCCAGTGGAAAGCAAAATAAAGACACCTTTTAGCAGGCACTGAAGGTGAACATGATCCTCCTAATAGTGTGAGTGTGGTCTGTGTAAGCGAGGGATCAGGGCAAAATGAATTGTATTTGGAGTCTGACTGCTCCCACCTGAAGTTACAGTCCCTTTTGGTGCATAAATTTGAGGTGAAGACTGGGATGTCGCTAGGAAACAAAGTGGATGACTTATGGGAGGCAGTATAGGAGTGTGGCATTCAGGAATGCTGCTGTTTAATGCTGTTGTTAATTGCCTCCTCTAACATGCAGACAGAGAGGCAAAATTTTTCAGTGCACTAATGAGAACAGATCTGTTTGCCCTTAAATCATTATGCTGAAATATGATATGATTTAATAAACCTTTAACTTCTAAGGTCGACCCTCTGCACTGTGCAGCTGGTGCTGGCCCCAGTGCTACAGCTTTGCTCTGAGGCACTCAGAGGCTGTGCAGGTTTTGGTCAAGAAACACCACTGTCTGCTCTCATCATTTCATCCCTAAAAACGAAACTGGAGCTTTTTAATCTTCTGTCTCTTTTTGTGCACTCTCTCCATTTTGGGGCTGTAGGAGTTGGGCTGTAGACCAGGACCATAGCACTGAACACCCATTTGTCATGACCGTTGGTTTTTTTTTTTA